CCTGTGTGTTTCTTTTGCTAAGAATGAATTAAACTAAGATGCACTATGGGAGAACAGCTTACAAAAAAGGAAAACCCGTGCTTTACAAAAATGAAAACAGGGCCTAAATACAGCTACAGAGAAAGATCAAATATTTAAAAAAAAAAAAAATGCTACTGTAGCACCTAAACTATTCAAAGAAATTTGGGGGGATTTTTTACCCCTTTTACATTCCACAGCAGGGTACCAAAATCCTAGATGGACATTTCTACAAAAATAATCTTTTCCTTCTAGCCTAACAGACTATGATCTAAACTATGATTTAGACTACAGATAAAAGATAGACAAAAAATAAAATATATGTGTCTATCCCTAAATCTGTTACTTGAAAAATAAGACAGCTCTTCTCTTATTTTCAATCTATAATAGACACACTTGTTTTACTGTATTCAGCATATCCATGATGTTTATATTGAAGCTTCTATGTACATACTTCAGCAGTATTAAATAAATAGGTATTGTTTCTAATTGTTGGAAGAAAAATACTTGGTTTTGGCATATTTGGCAAAGAAATATTTACATCTTTCCTATAAAGTGTTTCTCTTATAAAGCATAAATTCAAAGACAACCTGCAAGGATTTGTGGCTATTATATTTTGCAGGTGGCAGAAAATAAAATGTCTGTGAGTATAAAGATTAAAAAAAAAAGATTAATAAAAAGACAGCAAAAAGAAATTACCACTTCATATTATGTGGCCAGTATTTTAGAAAATGCAGAGGAAAAATGCAGGCTCATTTTTAAGTCCTGATGAACAATCATCTGGACTTGTTGGTACACAGGTGTACCAATACCGATACCTTTTGAGAGAACATAAAAATTGTCTGCCTAGTGAGCAACTGGGAATATTTATATCAGACAATATCTTCATCCTAAATACAGGTAACTTGAATATATAAATAGAAATGTTTTGCATGGCCTCTGCTCCCTGCTCTTTTCCCTTGAAAACTGAGGTTCTGAGCCCCAGGTAGGAGACAGATGCTGAAAGATGACCAGTCTAGCCTTCCTGATACATCTTTGTATGCACACACACTCTCTCACATACACATATTTATTGCAACCTGATGCTCATAGGAAAGCTTTTTCCTCCTTTTAACCTTTTAAGTTTCTACAAGGAACATTTCAGAAACCAAAGTGAAAATAAATTAAAAAGCAGCGATGACAGAAATAGCTGCATATTCAAGCAGCAAAAAGGCAGGTGTGGTATAAGAATTCCTAGTGTTCTTCTCTGCAGTGCTCTGCTTTGCTGTTAGAGGATTTGATGGGTACTTTTCATGGGTCTATATATGCTTATGATAAGTGTACATGGAAAGAGGAACCTTCCAGGTACTGTGTGGCCTCTTTACTTGGGTAAATCTGCTTTTTTAAGATAAAATGTTATGCTGTATTTCAGCTGCTGTCTTCCGGGCATGTGCCCACACATTAAGTATTTTTTACTACCAATTATATTAGTAATCATTAAAGTAGATGCAAATTCCTTTACTTGTTTGTTATATAAATTACATATTGGTAAATCTTACAAAATATTTATAGGCATTCAGTACTCAAGCATGTTATAATTGTTGTGCTGCAGTATTTCCTCAACACTTAGTACTTATTTCAGTCATGTCTTATAAGGATTGATAGATAGAATTGTAGTTGGAAAAATAGTTAATTCAAAGTTAATTTCTAAAAATCCTACCCTTTTAAAGTTAACTCTGTGCTATATCCTAATATATAATAAATATTCTGGATAAGCAAGTGTACTGACAGGAAGTAAGCATACAATAAACAATACATTCTGGGGAAGATGCAGCATAAAGAATAAAACAACAAATGCATTCCAAAAGTTTACAAAGTCAGTTTGATGTAGCTGTTTTCTTAAGATAATTAAAAATATTTTAATAATTATTACCTATGTCTCCTTTCTTGTGACAGGAAAAAAAACCCCAAAATTTCTTATTATTCCTCATCCTTTTATGCTCACTTTTTCAGATGCATTGACTTACAATGTGCTTAAGTTAAGCTATAGCGATCACCTTTTCCAGACTGTCTTAAAATGGTAAATGGGTAAAAAACAAACTTAGGAAGTAGATTAGTATTATTTAATATCTAGTAGAATGAACCTTTGTACCTGAAACTAGAAAGCATTTGTAGCATTTTCTTTTTAATGCACAGTTATACTTCCAGATCTCAGGATTTCTTTAGAATATGTTCTTACTACGCAGAAAAGTGCACAGGAATAATTTGCTTTGTTTAGCCATTTATGTCTAGAATATACTATTTAAAATATCTAATGGGGAAAAAATGTTGTCTTCCCCACAAAAGCAGAATTATTAAAATACAATTATATTATTTATCAGTAGACAGTGATAATTTCTTTGCTTGCTTGGATTTTGATTAATGCTCAGAAATGCTTAGCCTCTTATTTTTAGACAGATGTCAGCATTATTGTATCAATTTTTCATCAGAAAATAGAGATACATGTTAAAACCACTTCAAAAATAGAGTTTCTGTGTGGGACCATATTATCAATGCTAATTATATCCCTAAGATAATGATTAAGTGGGACAAAGAGGGGAACCAAAGTGTTTGCAGAGCATGTGAATCTCAACTGGACATAAAGCTGCCTACTTTGCTTCCTGCTTTCCTTCTTCAGTCTCTTTAGTACATGGAAATATTACAAAACTATTAAAGATACTTTAAATAAAAATATTCTCTTGACATGATTAGCTTGATATTCATGTTTCAGCATACCTATCCAGGCAGCAGTGATTGCATGCCAGTGTTAAAAACATATACGTAGCATGATTCTTTGTGTGTGTTTGCAAGCTTGTGAAGGCAAACATTTCCTTTGAGTCCTTTGAGTGTGTGACTCTCTGTGTGTGACTGTGTGTGTGTGAGACTCTGTGTGTGTGTGTGTGTGTGTGTGTGTGTGTGTGTGTATGAGACTCTGTGTGTGTCTGTGTCTGTGTGTGTCTGTGTGTCTGTGTGTGTGTGTGTGTGTCTGTAGCCAGGTGCTAAAAGCGAGACTGAGGTCTGAGGGTGGAAATGAAGAGCATTTCCTTTTGGAAGAGCCCTACTTGACCAAAGTCCTGCCCTCCAGTTTGAGAGAGAAGGATGGGAAGGGGCACTGCAAGAAAGGTCCGACACTGCAGCCCACTGAAATCACTTGTAGTTACCAAACGTGTTTTAAAGGAAAGTTTTAGATATACAGAGCTTAGAGTCCTATGGACTGTATTAAAGGAATCACAGCTACATAAATCAGGCTTACTATTAAGACTACCTTTTGGGGGTTAAAGTTAAGTGGCAAACCAGATGCACAATTTCACTGCAATTCTAAAGATAATTCTGAAATGATGCTCAGCTGGTGCAATATGTTATTTTCTGTTCACAAGATGAAGTGGAATTTAAATTTTAAAAACCAGTAAAGATTTTTAAGAGTTTTGAGGGAGGCCTATTTAGCTTCCACCTAATTTCAAAATTAGTCTTGGCTGTCTTCTCACTCCAACAGTCCTTGAATCAAAATTCCAAATCAGAATCTATTATTTTCTTACTCATGTTAAGCAGCATTAAGTAGAGGGAAAGGATTTTATTTACATTAAGGAACCAATCTTACAGTTTTCACACAGGAAAGGCATCATTTCAAGGCTATAGCAATTTATATTTCTAAAAAACCCAAAAACTAATCAAACAAAACACTTCCAAACAAACCAGCTTTTATTTTTCAGCATTACCTGATACCTATACTTAAATTAGATGTCACCATATTCCAGATACATAAAAGAGCAGAGCACAACGTGCAGTACCAGTGTTCCATCTCTCCCTCCCCCTCTCACCTACACCATTTTGATTTTAAATTTGCTGGAGCCCATTCAATTTATAAATAACCTTAAACTGTTGAACTGATCACTAGTTTATTTGAACAGGAGACAATGTTATGGAAACAAATCTAGTTAACAAGGTAATTAGCTTTTGCAATGTTCCTCAGAAGGCTGGAAACCAGCAGTTCATCACAGCACTATACAAATAGCAGTATGCAATGTTAAGCCTCTGCTTGCAGGGCTTCTATGAAACTCATTGGTCGCATTACCAAGAAAAAGTATCCAAGGGCCACCAAAACTGATTTATTCACTTGAAGAGTGGGAGGGTGAAAATATTTTCCAATAGTAACCTCCTATAAAAGCATAGGCTACTGCTGGCATTAAAAAGATGGGGCTAGAACCACAAAAATCCTTTTTCTTGCTTCCACAAAAGGCTTTGGGCCTAATTATTTTTAAGTATAATCCAGCCAACATCTTCTCATGCTTAGCTGCACTGAGTGACACTATTTGTGATGCCCAGTCTGCTGAAACTGAGCAGGTTGCTGTCAGTTTAAAAATGACTATAATAAAAGTGACCATGAAGATGGATCTTGTGATTTTGCGTTTCTAATCAGTCATCTGTGAAGAACACTTTTGCTTTGATTCAGCAGACTGGTGACAGCCATGATTGATAGTGCATGAGGATGAAAAAAGGTTATTAACTGTCTTCCTATTAAACTCAATGTATTACCCCTCTAGGTGCATCTCATACTTTAGCTTAAAGTACTTACTCAGGTAAGGTCAAAAATGAACTCTATAAACACAGTATCTATCCTGTTGTAGATGAACCAGGGGCTCTAATGCTAAATTTTGAATGTTCAGCACTAAAGCATATCTGAATCCTGACACCTTAATTACTGTGCCAAAATCAAACACTGAGCAGACCTTCCTATGCTTCTAAATATATAACTCTACACAAGTATTTTTGTATGAAACAGGAAGAGATCAGTTGATTCTGTGTGTTGGTGAATACAAACACACAGACAAATATGTTTTACTCACCATAATAATCTCAAAATAAAAGTTTGAATAATGTTATGTTAATGAAAAACACATAGAAGAGAGATATGAAGTGGTCTGACGGGTTCAAGTATGAATCTCACACAGAAAACAGCATTTTACCTGCTTGTAGTTAACTCCATTGTTAACTTGATCAAGCGTGATTTAATAATTTATGAAGGCTTCCTATTAAAAGAAAATACAAATATTTTACTGTAAATATAGAAGCATCTATTTGTTGCCTTACAATGTGTTTTAGACTTAGTTTTTATTCCCTTTTTCCTGATGACAATACTTACAATTATCTACTGAAAAAACAAAGGAAAATGGCACATACATTCATTTTCAAAATAATTATTTGGTAAAAATACTGATTCCTAGGGTACTTCTAATTTCTCGGGATATCTCTGTGAAGAGATAATTTTAAAGGAGCATAAGAAAAAAAAGAGTGAAATACTTTTCCTGTGTTCATTGTTATTCCTCCGGACAATAGAAATTAATTGAAAGGGGAAAATTGTCCACATTTTGTATGCAGGTTAGCACCTTTTTAGATTCACAAGTTTATTTTAGAAATCAGGTGTTTTACAAACACTTCTTCATAATCAGTAACATGTTAAATTTTTAAATTTATTTTAATAAATTTCAGATACTCTTTGAATTTGTTTATGCATATCTTATATTACAAACATTTTCTCATAAAAATAAGTAGAAATATAGAGCAAAAATCCCATGACTCTCACCGTGCACACTCTTCTCTGAAGGAATGTACAGACACACTTGTTTTAAATAAGCTCTTTCCACATGGCATATAATATCTCCCTGCAAAATACATCTATTCTGTATTTTTTCCAGAGTATTAAAACATACTTTTAAATTTAGTTTTATAACAGTCCTTCATTTCCTCTTTTACATTAAATCAAGAATATTTTTTTCACTCATTAACATCATTCCAGTGGGAAGCAAGAATATTATACCAAGCCAGATCCTTTTGGGGAAAGAAGGAAAAAGTATCTATCCTGACTATTATATAATGTACTGTCATGCACAAAGTCTGAAACCTAAGTAAATATTTTAATCTTTTCAAGGTGGTATTGAATTTCAGTTGTCCCTGTTGTTTTTAAACAATTTTTAACAAAACATTCACAGTTGGTTAAAATCCAGAAAAAATATAGTCTACCTAATATGATGATGCTATCTCTTGAAAAAATATTATTAAACAGCCCTCTGTAACATCTTTATTTCTGGAAAATGTGTTCCTTTCAGGTGCGGACTTGGGAATAGGCACCAATTTTGCCTTCAGTAACATTTCTGCTTTATAATAAATTGCAATCCTGTTGTAGCCCCTGTGGATTTACAACTGGCAGGCTTTCTCTCTGACAATTTGGGGTCACTGTGGATATAGGTGAGCAATAATTTCAGAGGTGATGGAGATATTGACAGAATTTAAGCGTCCATGTTCCCAGGCAAAAATTTGTAAAATGTACGCTCCTACACTGGGTTTTAATTAATAAAACTTCTCGATTAGATTGTTTGCCTTGTTTGTGCATTGCATTTTCTCTGAAACTGTAAAAAATAGTAATTCCCATTTGTGCCTCTGTCAGTACTATGAAATATTTAAGTGTAAAAGCTATCATTCCTCTCTCAAGCACATTTAAGCAAAAAAGAAAGTTAAAGTTACCAGAGGCTTAGCTAAAAAACATAGAGCATGTTTTTAGAAAATCAGAAGTATATGACAACATTTGTTTTGGGTAGCCTTATGGGGGCCTGGAATAGGTAAAATCATTTTATCAGATATCACGCCAAACAGAGGCCCTAATGATAGTGAGGGTTTCAGACCTATGTTTTACTCATACGAGAAGGGATTGGCAGGATCAAGCCCCCTCTGTTCACTTCATGTGTGTAACCTAAAGACAAGAAGTAAGTCTAAACATAACTCCAACCATGTGTAAAACAGCAAAAATCTTTCAGTCAGTATGGAAGAAATTAATGAATCAGATTTATTCCTCCGGCTTCTTTAAAAGAATTGTCACAAGAACTAAACAGAAGATCCCAATTAATGAAACAAAGGAAAGTTTAGGGCCATTTAACCTGGAACAATTGTTTCCTCTGGTTAAGGTTTATATAAACCCAGAGCAGGCCTGAAATGTCAACTCTAGTGGTACCCTTTGAAATCCTGCTTTATTCCAGCACTCACTACACACACGAAAGCAAATCCTTAAACTGCAGGCTAAGTGTATGTGGCCCAACCAGGACCATACAAAGGCGACACACGTAGCATGTGTCACAGCCAGCAGCACATGAGTGACTTCGCCAGGGGGGATCCCTCATCTGGATCCCACTCCAGACAATCAGGACACAGCAAGGGAAAAGGGAAAAGAAAAAAAAAAAAAAAAAAAAGAAAGAGTGGGGGAAAGGAGGAAAAAAAGAAAATAGCAAGAAGAGCCAGACTCCAAACCCCACCTCCTGCCCCAGACAAACAAGGGCAGGTAGACCGGCTGGGAAAGCCGGGCACCTCCCGCGGAGGGGATGCTGCCGCCGCCAGCGGGGCGCTCGCAGCGCGGGGCATCCGGCGCCCTGCAGCGCGGGGCGCGGAGCGGGACCCGCGCACCTGCCGGCCCGCCCCCGCCCCGCCGGGCCGCCCCCGCCGGAGGCGTCGCCGCTCCCGCGGCGGGCGCGGGGCCCCGGCGGAGCGCAGCGCCCGCGGCCGCTCCCGCCGGCGCTGCCGCGGCGTGCGCGGCTCGGGGGCGCTGCCCGGCGGCGGCGAGCGCCGCTCCGCATGCCCGCGGCCGCGCCGGAGGCTCCGCGGGGCTCCGCGCACCGGCCGCGCCGCGCCCCGCGGACACCGGGCGATGGGACGAGTGGGGCGGGTAATGAATTCCAGCAGAGAGCTCGAGAGGAGGCATTTTTCAGAGATCTGCCATATTTAACATTGACCACACTAAAGATGTTATTAGCGACTGAGGGGTGGGGAGGGCAACGGGGGATACGATAAGGGAAAATAGATAATGACACATAATCCAAACCAGAAGTTTGAAACCAAGTTTTCGCTGAAAAGAGCTGAACTTTTTTTTCCACTCTCTCGGTCTCTCTCTCTCTCTCTTTCCTTTTCTCTCTCTTTTTTTTTTTTTTTTTTTTTTTTTTTTTTTTTTTTTTTTTTTTTTTTTTTTTTTTTTTTTTTTTTTTTAATAGGCTGAGACTGAAAGACAGGGAGATAAACTTGTTAAGGAAATATTCCTCTAAGCAACCGGGTAAACAAAATAGCTGAAGTGAGACAGTGAAGGAGATGGGGGTAGGGAAATGCAAAAGACATACTACTATTTAGAAACCCCAAAGGAAATTGTAAAGTAGGAAATGAAAATAAGGAGGAGAAACATTTCTGTTGTAAGTTGGAGGGAATGAAGAATAGCGGGAGAAAAGGGGGTAATAGCTGCAGAAGGTCTGAAGTAAAGCACCACTGAAGATTAGCTAATGTCTAAAATATTTCAGCTGTGGAAAGAGCATGGTGTGCTCATCCCTTCAGCATGGGTGTGTGAAAGGGAAATGAGTAGGGATAATTACTATTATAGCACATGTCCAGAGGAACCAATCCAAAATAAGAGATAAATTTGGCTGGTGAAGACAGATAGGAAAAAGGCTGGAAGAAAACTTAGGAATACTTATACCCGAGAGGAGAAGAAGAGAATTAAAGAAAGAGAAAGGCTTCAGAAGTACGAGGAAACTTAGAGAACCAGCTGGACCGGGACGAAACAGCTACGGCAGAGATGGGGCGAGAGAATGAAAGTGGGAAGAGAAAGAGAATGGGAGAGATTGAGGGGAGCGAATATACCTGGGAGAGGGAACAGTTGGAGTGGATGGGAAGAAGGAAAGCAGGAGCGGAAAACTAGGAAAGAGGGAAGGAGGGACAGAGGGAGGGATGTGGGGAGAGAGGGAAGGAGACGGAGGGAGGAGACAAGGGCTGAAGTCTCCCAGCCTGGGGAAGGTGCAGCAGTGAGTGAGAGAGAGCTCACTCGGAGGGTTAGGTTAGATTTCCAGAGCTCTTAGAGCTCATCGACCAGACCGCTGGAGTCACTATTCAACCCGAGTCCCAAACACACGCCTCACTAACTACTTTACAGCCACTTTCATTGATTTTCTTTATCAAATAAACATAATACCCGTTACAGCAACACTTCCTCTTCGCGCAGCCAGAATGCCACAAGCTGATTGCTGCATTTCTCTGGCTTGCAGTTCCCCACCCTCCGCCCCTAAATAAATTGTGTTCTTTCACTTAAGTGGTCAAATACATTATTGCTCGCACAATTTTTCTGTAATCTGGAAGGTACTCTGCCAGCTAGGCAAATTGCTTAAATTGTAAAGTAAAAGGTCCCCATTCCCATTGCCCTGGTGTGGAGACAAAATTTCCCCCCAATAAACTCAGGGGTAGCTTATATATTTACATACTTATTTACCACTATTAAGAGGTAACTTAATTTAAGAGGTGATGTCAAAGAGAACAGTTCTGCCTTAAAAGCTGCAGGAAAAAAATTAATGTAATTTTACCACATGCACCTAAACTGTCACTTAATATAAGCATTTCAGCCTCAAATTTCAATTTTATTTAAAAAATCCCCTAAAAGTAGCCCCCTTCAAAAGCTGTTTTTGAACCAGGCTCTTCCATATATGTCAAAGGGCTGTTGAATTATTCATTATTATAATTACTATCATCATTGTCATTATCCCTTTCCATGTGGAAATAATTTTATTATCGTAATTTGATATCTGAAGAATTTCCTGTTAGTCGTTTGATAATAATTTTTTTCTACTGAAAAGTTTTGTTTATAAATGAGAGAAAAATATTTTAAATGCTTTTATGTTTACTATAGATTTCCGTTTATCTAATCGATTGGAATGCCAATAAATCGATTAAAGGTTTAGTGTTTTACAAACAACCATTTTGTGCTTTTTGATTTTACGTTTGGAATGATTTTAATAAAGCTAATGCCTTCTCTGAGCGTTTGTTCACCCCAAACCTAATATTCCATCGTTTCTACTATTTACAATTGCAATTTAAAGTGTTTCTAATGAGAAAAATAAATACAAATAAAAGAAGGAAATAATCTGACAAAATTACTTTGTGCCTGTGGTCAACATATTTAGGCAAAGCCCTTAAAAATCTTGGTGAATTATATGCGATCATAGAGTGATTGCGGAATATTAAATTAAACTTAGATAAATCCGCATTGAAGGAGGCAGCACCCAATCCTGAATTTATTTCCCATTTTCTATAACAGCATCACTGCGCTCCTCTCTTTGCAATGACAATGTGCCAAATCTAGGCATTTTGAAAACATTTTCCATATGCTTTAACTGGAGACTGATAGACAAAGAAGAAAAGGAGATGGTCTTTTTTCTCTTGAGGTATATTTCCTTTAACTTTTCCTCCAACCTTTCCTGATCTTCATCATTTTTTAAACAAAAGTTTGAAAATCATTAGGACCTTTCTTTTCCTTTTACTTTTTTTTTTCCCTTCTTGCGTAATGAATTCTTGAATTGTGGGGTTTTAGTTATGCTTTAATGCAGGACTATAGAACTGTCATTTCTATACCTTGGCGGACAATATTTTGGGGAGAAATCATTGATTCATTTACTTTTCGCTTGCTGCTTTTTGTAATTAAAGATGGTTTTAATTATATT